CCCTCCGCCTCGGCCAGGGGTGGGAGGGGCGGCTTCGGGGAGCCGCGCTCTTATTGGGCAGGGTGGCGCAGAGGTTTGGGCGAGGGGCGGAGTCCGTCTCCTCATTGGTTGCGACGGGACAGGAGAGAGCCGGGCAGGGGAGGGGGAACGGCAGGGAGCGAGGTCGGGGTTACTATCGGGCACGAGCGGGGTGATGCCGGCACGAGACCAACCGCCGGATCGGCCACTTCCGAACGCCGTTGGAGTGGGCGGGGCCGGCCTCATGCATATTCATCACATGCTAATGAGCCCGCTCTTACTCGGGAGTCCTCGGGCGCGTTTTCCCTCTTGGTGAGGAAGCAGCGCTGGCTGGCGCGGGCAGAGCCCTGTGGGGCTCCCCCGACATCTCCCGCTTTGCATATGCAGATCGCCTCTTTTGAGGCCCCGCCCCTGGACACGTCGGTGTATTTCTCCGGCACCTGCTGCATCTTACATGTAGTGGTGAATAAAGCCGGCTCCCGCGCCCGTGCAAAGTAGCTAGCGCCCCATAAAAATGGCTCTCCTGCCACAAAAAGAGTTAACCAGCTATGAAGTTAGTGCTTGCAAAGGTGTAAACGATTCCCTAGCTGGTTTCTATCCAACTTTATTTTGAAGGGGTAGCAGGTCTGATATGTCATCAGCTGTACCGAAGTGGTCTTATGCTCGCAGCATGGGGTCCACGGCTAATACGTGAGTCAAGCAGGGCATGCAGCTTTCTCATGCATAGCAGCCAGACAGCAGATCCTCCTGTTTTAATGCACTTGTTTCACACCCAGTCTAAAAACCCTTGTGTCCTCACATACAACTACACAGAAGTCTCATGTGCCCTTTGGCTATCAGTGCTCTTCTTATTTTTTGTTGTGCCTCCTCCAACAGGTCAAAGGGACGCGAGGGTTGGTGGGAGAGGACGGATGCAATATCCTCCTCTAAAAACCCTGCCAATATCGGGCAGGGTTCCTCCGCATGGGGTTTGTGTCAAGGTCAGCGCGTGCAGCACCACAGTGAAGATGGATGAGGAGGGAATGGGGCAGTGACCTTCAAGTTCAAGCTGAGGGGCAGCTCAAGTTAAGGGGAATGTTTCACTTGTAAGGGAAAGCAGACAGGAGCTTGTGTGATGGCGCATCCGTAGTCCCAGGCCTCCAGACCTGGGACTTGTACATAGGATGTTCACCTGGAGATGGGGAGTATCTGAACTCCCAGGCCTATGGTTCTGGGAGGTAAGATCCTGGCCTCCTTGGAGTTGTATGGCCCACGGACATTTACAGATACGATTATTTGATTTGGATATTTGAATTGGACACTAGATATAATATCTATATCTATTGATATCAATATCAATATCTATCTATCTACCTATCCAGACCTTTTGGCAAAGATCAAGCATGACAGAGTGCATCCAGACTCCCAGGCCTTGGACTTACGCTGATGCCAGCCTGGATAAGGCAAGCATTTGAACTTCCAGCCCTATGGGGCTGGGACATAGGATGCCAGCTTGGTTGAAGTTCTATGGCCCATAAATACCTGTCAACACAGTTATTGAGCTTGTTGAGTTGGATTTGGCATTTGATTAGCTATTTGAAACAAAAAAGAATGTGCAGCAAACAATAAAGAGGCAACAGGAGTAAAGAGAAATAGATGACGTTGCAGGAAGCAGAGACTGAGGGGCCACCCAGCCAGAAACAATAGTGGTGGGCGCTAGGGTAGAGTTGTCTGGCTAGCCCCTTTGAAAGTCAATGTGAAACTGTAAAAGAGATTGAGTTTTTTGGCCAGCACAATCAGTAAAATGGCTTTAGGATGTTGCATGAGCTAGGGCAGGAGTGGCAAAGTCAAATTAGTTGGTGAGTCATATTTCCTGCCAGAACCAGGGAATTAACACTACTGCTCACCTCTGTCACTGACCGCTGATTTTCATCCCTAGCAGTAACTGAAAACTACATTTGGTGGCACAAAAAGTGAGAGTGAGAGAGTACCTACCTCCGGTGGGGCTGCCTTAACCCACTGAGTGCTGGTCACACTGACACAGCAGCTCTGGCAGCCACAGCAAGAAGCCCCATGGCCCGGATGATGTACTGCTGTGGACCAGATCTGGCCCAAAAGCTTTATGTTTGATATCCCTGGACCACAAGATGGTGCTTTGGGTGTCAAGGGAGTCTAAGTGTGGCATAGTTACAATAAGTAAAAGAGGAGATGATGGCAGCCCAGAAGAGTTTCAGACCAAGCAAACGTGTAAATGCATGATTCCTTTTTTTCCCCCTCCCTTTTGCACAAGTAGAGGTTTTTAAATCACTCATGACTAGCTGGCTGTATATTAGAAGCTCATAAATAGCTTACACTAAGCATCCTAAGATCCAAATTAGCCAATTTTATTGCCAAGTTGACAGTGTAATTGTACACACATTCATGCCACCTGCATGTTTAATACATTTTGTGTAGATTTTTCAGGGTTGGTGGTATCTTTAAAAATGCCACATCATTTAAAAATACTTGCAGGCAGTTAACCAAATGTAGATTTTGCTCACAAATAATAAATATTGTAGAAATTGTGCACTTGTATAGAAAGAGATGTCCTCCGTTTTGGATGATGTCCCTGTGTGTATGTGTTGTATTACAAAAATGATTGTTATTCTTACTGTATTCTAATAAATGCTGCCTTACCTGCATGCACTAAATAGCTTTTCATGGATCTGATTCTGTCATGGTGCCAAGAGGTGAGATGTAGAGTCTGCAGTTAACTTATCCCAAAGCCTCAGCTCTTTACAAGGGGGGAAGCAAGTGTTCCTTTGCCCTCAGAAGCATTTTACTATCCAGCTGGCACCTCCACATCAGCCTTTGGCTGCTCTTTGCTAGCATTGCTAGAGCTCATTCTGCCAGACTTTTTCCTCTGGAATTAGGGCAGCCAGTTCAGAAAGTCCTTGGTATAGTCCCTAGTGTATTGGTCTGGATAGTGGACAATACACAAGATTAGTTTTTCCCTGTACAGAAGAGAAGGGCAGGGTGCCTGGGATAGACCAAGCAGATTATTTTATTCCCTTCAGCAAAATGAAATCCAGCCAGAGACCAGTTAAGTCTCATAGTCACAATTCCTTTCTCTGCTTTGCCTGTTGCTCAGGACAGATTGTAAATTTAGGATATTCCTTTTGATCTGAATGGCTTGCCTAAAATTTTGCATCTTTCAGGCTGCTAAAACAAGGAAGAGAAATCAAAGATGTTGTCTACTATTTCTTTGAATGTACTTTACAAAAAATGTATGAAGTTGTTTCCTGTATAATGCCCTAGGCATCAGGGCATAAAATGGGCAGCCTCCTGCATTATTACATCTGTCTTTATACATCAGGTCATGGCAGGAGAGACAGAAGAGACACCCCTGGATGGGTAGGTAGGCCAGCTTTGTGCCCAGCCTCAGGACATGCCCCTGTCACAGTAACATATATATCCTTTTACAACATGTCTCAGACGGCCAGAGCTGACTCGAGTTACGTTAGAAATTGGTCGTACGTTAGGGCGGGCTGGTGAATGGAGAGGCAGAAAACTTGGCAGTTGCAAAAAACTTTACTCACGCCGCTTGCAATCACGACGCAGGTGGTCTGGTCGTCTGAACAACCACACGAGTTGTTCCAGCTGGCGGGGCCCAAGCCAGTTAATCCGTCCGCAATTCGAAGCCGGCGGGGAAAGGGGTACGTCTGGGGTTGCGCTTGGTGACAGGAAGAAAGATCGATAGGTGATCAGTCTATTGATCGGCAGCCGCAAGTCAGATAACTTCAGAGGCACTCTGCAGCGTGCTCAAAGCTCTTCGACTTGGGCGGAAGTCGCGCGGAATTTTAAACGGCCAGCGAGCCAATTACTAGCCGCCACGTGTGAATAATTTAGCACTGGCCAATAGCGGGGCACCAATTTACATTCGAATAGCGGGAACTCTTTCCTACACGCGGGTTCTCAATTGCAGCAGAACACTCTGCCGTGCAAAGGAGCTCTCATGTGGCCAGGAAATTCCATAGTGCCGAGGCACAAAAATCACTGGGTTGTGACACAACATAGATAAATACCTAGTGGGGGTTTCTTGTACAGAGCTTTGTATGATAAAAAGGGACTCCATTTGGACTGTATCAACTTGGATCTTGACTTAAGTGCCCTATATTCACTGATTCTGCTTGCAGCCATGTGGTTTATCTTATACCCAGACCTGTTGCACAATTCCCCAAGTACATGGAGCTCTCAGGAAGCTTCCTGGTGCCACTCTCCAAACCAGCCCCTTACAACTCTTATTCCAACCTTTAGGGAACCTATAAGTTGTTACAGTGGGATTTTTCAAAACTACCTAGGTTCCTTACTTTCATTAGTCTAACTCCAACAGCCATGTTTTTAAAAGTATTTTGGCATGTAAAGACATAGATAAGTGCCTAGTGGGATTTGCAAATTCCAGTGAAAACAATGGGTGTTTGAGTGGTTTGCTTTACAAGTCCTAGTTACCATTTGCTCTAAAAGTCCTGTTAAAATGTGTGACATTAAATCTAATTTTAATTATATAGTTATTTACCTAAATATAATATTATGTTTAAACAATTACATTTTCTTTGGTCAGTTTTTTAATTTAATTTTCCTTTGCATAATCATCCTAAGTTTTATTTGCCTTATATATTATATAAGTGAAATAGTCCATGAATAAATAATACTGTACGGTCCAATGGCTGGGAAACTGGCTCCAGGGTTGGACCCAAAGAGTACTAGTTGATGGGAGTGAATCAATGTGGCGCAAGGTGACCAGTGGTGTCCCTCAGGGCTGGGTATTTAGGCCAGCACTCTTCAACATCTTCATTAATGATCTGGATTTGGGAATTGGATGGAGACTGACAAAGTTTGCAGATGACACTAAACTATGGGGGAAGGTGGTCATGCTGGAAGACGGGCTGGGGATACAGGCCAACCTGGACACACACAGA